AGCCTGTACACATCTGTATTGTAAACAACATTTTAGCCCAAACTCCCCAAGTAACCACTCACAAATACATTTTTTTTTCATGGAGAAAGGAGATAAATCTCTTGTGGGCCATTTCCTCCTGCAGTACAGGCAGGTTCTCTTAAAAGTAGAGCTACTATGAGGAATATATACCCTGGGCGCATAGGGGAGCATGCAAAACAGTGAGCAAAGAGCTACACAGCAGCAATTTCTTTGCAGCTGACCATGGCAGGCTACTGATTCCCTGTGTTTGTTGTGCATCGAAGTTATAGCTTGTGCATTTGCAAATAAAAAGCTAGTGGAGGGATTGGAAAATATCACACTGCTAGACAAGACCCTGATTAATAACACCACCTGGACACAGTATTTGAACATATGCTTTAACGCATCTATATCACACTAGAATTACTTGCACCTTTTCTTTCATTCATCTCACTGTTCTGAATAGAGTGTGTCAGCTCTGGAGGCAGACGAGAGCTCAGCCAACGCTGCCTGCTTACCCGAGCCAGCCCTCGGCTGCCGCTCCCAGCTAGTTCGTGCCAAAGCATATTTGGGATCAATAGACTGAACACTTCTGCACCCAGAGGGGCCCAGAGTGTGCCAAGTACAAGTGGGTACAGCACAGCTATCTGGCCGGATAGCTATATTGTACCCACCTGTCCAGCGTGACTCAAAGCTCTGCCGATGTGATAAATAAATTATAACCAGATATTTGGCGAGTCCTCCCAGGAGGTTGAAAATGTGGTTTTAGGTCCTTCACACCATCATTGTCATAACCCTACTATAAGAGAGACTGGCACACATTTCCATGACTGAGGGGCATACACCACTTTTACCAACAGCAAACACCAGTCACTTGTAAGAGCTGGTGTAGCCACCTACGCCCACAAGGGAAAAATAGACTTTGGCATTAGAGGACTTCCATAACAGGTATTCCTGTGTGGGTAAAGGACACAGTTTCAGACACACCCCTGTCTACAGTGCTACCTGTTGCCAAGGTTAGGGGCTCCTGCCCATGCCACACTTTCACGTCCAATGGGAGCTCCAGTAAAGCCACTCTTGTCTTGCAGGCTTTCACACCTCTTCCTACACAATCCTCCACACTGCGTGGGCATGCAGTGAATCTGATCACAGAGCTGGCCCAGATGAAAAAGCAAACCCCAGATATTTTCTTGCAGGGTTTTACTCATCAGTTCTGCTGAGGTTCGCCACACTGCAGAAAAATGCTCAGGGAATGGAAGACAAAGTATCAGATCCTGACACCGACCATCATACTGTAAACACAGCTTAACAGGCCGTGAACTCTGGGGTCTGAGCAGCCAATGGCTAAGTCACAATGATACTAAGTGCTGGCGTGTTCCTCTTCCAATGAGGACGTGTCCCTTTCTTAATTGAATTTGCAAGGGGTAGAGGCATGCTACTCAGTGCACCAAGCTGACAGTTATTTTTGCTGCGTAGTTAGTAAATACCTTGAAGAGAAGTCAGCAGCACATCTCAACCCCTCACCCACACTAAACAGGACTTGGCACTCTTCCCAGACACAGTGAATGGGGCACCAGCAGATAATAGTTTGTCTCTTCTACATTTCCTGTGTTTTCAGTCTGCTGACAGAAGGAACTAGGATTCAATAAAGTCCCATTACAGGGTAAATACGACTCAAAGGAAATGCATATGGTAAATGAAAATTCAGAATGCAGCTCAGCCTTCTGTGATCTGGATGATCATGATCCTTCCTTTTGACCAGAATCATCTTTGCCCCAGCTGGTTTTCTTCTGACGGAGTAGGAAGAAAACGTAAATTCTGAAGAATTCGGACTAAGTGGTGTTTGCCCTACATCCTTCATAGGCACCACGGGAGACATTTGACTTCTATTAGCAAGGCACTAATTTTCAAACTAAGACCCACTCCTCTCTGGGAACTTGCAATATGTGATGTAAGGACAAGTCTGTGTGGGCTGCAATTGTAATGATGTACCTGCAATTGCTCAAGCAGCTGACACTGCAACTGTAGACTTAGTAGGATTCTACAAGTTTCACAGCAGACATACAGAATCAATCACAGTATACAGGCACCAGTGGTATCGCCTGTACTTCCTTTCCCACTTCTTGACAGTTAAAAGAATGCAGAAAGATCAGACTATTTACCAGCATATTATACTATTCCACTTCAGCAGATGGGGTGGGTGGGGGATAATTAATGCTTTAATATCAAAATGTTTATCACATGTTGAGTGCTCTGCTAGATATAAAATTTTTTAAATGAATAAATGAGAGAGCTTTTAGGAGAATATGGCTCCAACAGCATGCCAGGCTGTTGTTTTTTATTATTCTAAAATGAGGATGAGTATCCTAGTCACCACGCAGTTGCATTTATCCAGCTTAGACCAACCCTTACTCTCTGTTTGCTTTATCCTCATTTGTTGTGACACAACCATAATCAAGATTAAATGATGACGAAGCCAGGTCAATGTAATAAAGAATCTACCACAGATTCACATGAAGCATAAATAGCAATTTAGTGTGCTACTGGTTACACTGTTCCACTAGAGGTGCCAATATCTACCCAACAACAAATGCCAAGAGCTTTCTGGAAACTAAGGTAGGCTAAAATACAGTACAGCCCTCAGTAAAAAATCGCTACAGACTAGCAGTACACTTACACAGCACAAGTACTACAGACAAGCAAAAGTGAGAGAACTTACAAGGTTCCTCAAACTTGTTCTTATGACTTGAACAACCTTGGGTTCCTTTGAAAACATTCAGCACACTGTTACACAAAACACACAAACAATGCCAGTTCCAAGTCTACACTCCTGGGATTTTACCAGCACTCACAAATTGCTCCAGAAATAATGTGTGTCAAGAGGGAGACATCCTCATCTAATACAAATGAAGGTAGTTCCACTTCTGGACTTGAATCAAGAGTAATGGTTCCACTTGGGTCTGCTCTGATCCCAGACTGTGGAAGACACTAATTTGACAGTCTTAAAAAGGGTTTCTTTACCTTAAGGCTAATTTTAGCATTTCATCATACACAGTAAACTCAAGATATTTGGTGAGTGTTATTTCAGCAAGTTTGATTCAGTCAGTTTAATACTTGCAGGAAATCTTCATACAAGCTGGGGAAAGGAGCCAGGTGCCCCACCTTGTAGTCTTCAACTACAGTCGTAAGGTCAGTCTCAATGTTAAATGTTATTAATTTACAAGTATTATGACAAAGCATATATTTTATTTAAACCTTTTTAAAAATGAAACTAATGTGGGGTCTTTTTAAACAATTCATTGTTTTAAGCAAGCCACTGTAAACAATACAATCCACAAAAAGAAAGCAGTAGCCAAACCCAAATTTCATCATTGTCATTGTTTGGCTACCATTAGCCTCCCGAATTCACTGTATTAATACAATAATACATTAACTCCTACTAATCCAGCAGAGAGTTTCTCTTCTGTGAATAGCTCAAGGGTGCAGCAGAGTCTGTAGTCGAAAGCCTAGACTCTGACCCAAAACTGCATACCTTAAAGACCTTCTGACAATATTTTAAATAGAATGTGCAGAGGAAGCAAGAAAAATATTTAAACAGCACAGCACCTTTCAAACTCCTGCTCTTTTTGACTATGTGGAGCCATTTGTTCCAAGGCAAGCAAGCAAGTAAAGCAACCTGCTCCCTCACTGGTATGTATTGCCAAGCATGCTTTCTGTCCTTCCTCCTTGAGTGTTTGTGCATGGGGAGTTCTCAAAATTTCACTGGAGATTACTGGATCAAACAGCAGATTTTTAAAGCTGCCTAAAGAAGCTCATATTACGAATTGCTGTTTTATATTCTTTATTATGCAGTATATTAAATCTAGTGTTTCATAAGCAAGTGTTTACTTAAATCACCAGATGAAAATATGATTCAGAAAGCTGTGTTCTCATACTTCTACAGAAGTGTAACAGCAACACCAACATACCAATCTGGAAAGGAGGCATATTAATGATCTCAGTGATACAAAAATACCTTCGGTCATTTCTTCTGGTGATACTAAGCATCCTCTCATATGGACTTCCCTTGAAGTTGTGAATATTCAGCGTCTTACAGTTTCAGAGTTCTGCTACCTAAGGATGAGTATAAGTTTTAATAAACCCCTCCAAAACAATGCTGCCCTCAGGGATGAAAGTAGCTACAGCAGTAAGTACAGAGCACTTCGCTGAATTAGCAAACTCGAGACTCTGTTCTGATTACAGCTGGAACAGCTTTTGCAGGCTCAAGTCTCGTTCATCCCCTTGAAACGTCCGTGGAAGGGCCACGTTCACCCCGGCGAAACCCCTCCTGTGCAGCAGGGCTCCACGCGGGGTTCGGCCCTGCAGCCCGGGGCACCTCTTCACACCCGCGCAGCGTACCCTCAGGTGCGGCAACCGCCACCCCAGCGCAGCGACCTCTTCACGCGGGTTTCCCTAAATCCTACACGCCCCGAAGCCCAGTGCTGCCCAAACTTCCTCCGAGGCCAAAATCGGCATCCTCCTCTCCCTCAGTCCCACACACACACCCCGGCACCCACACCCGCTTCCCTGCTCCCCCCGCAGCCCACCTGGGCTGATCCCTCCATCAGCCCTACGGCATCGACCTGCACCAGCCGCACGGGATCCACCTTTCCCCCAGGCAATCGCCTCTCCAGCAGAAGCTATTTCTGCCCTCACAAACCCCAAAAGCATCTTATAAGAACCGCTGCTTTTAAAAGGAAACTAAAGTGGAGGGGAGCCGCCCCGAGAGCCCCCCTGCCCAACAAGCTGCTCCGCCCTCAGAGCCCCCCCGCCCTCACCCCGAGCCCCTGCGAGGAGCTGAGCGCCCTCACCGGCCCCCACCCGAGGCCGCAGCTCTCCCTCAGCCACCGGGCCGGGCCCGAAGGGCAGCACCCCTGCCTCACCCCTGCTCCCCCCAAACCCGGCAGCACCCCGGCCTCCCCCCCGCCCGGCAGCGCGGAGCCCTCCCGCCCCGCCCCCGGCTATCCGGCCAGCCCCCGCCGGGGCGGGCTGCCGCCATAAAGGGTGGGCGGCCCGCTGCCCGCGGCCTACCGCTCCCTCGCCCGCCCCGGAGCCGCTGGCTGCCCTGACGCGCCACGCCACGCCGCGCCGAGGTGCCCTCTCTGTCCTTCAGCCCGGCGGGTGGAGGTACCCACGGCCGCGGGGGTCCCGGTGCTGGGGCGTTATGCGCTGGGGCGGGGTGCGTGGCCGCTCGGCGTGGGGAGCCGTGTTTCCCGCCGCGAGCTGGGCAGGCCCCGCTCTTGGGGCGGGGGGGGGCCTGAGGAGGGGCGGTGAGCGGGGCACCCACAGCTGAAAACTGCCCGTGGAGACGCTTTTACGGTGCTCTTGGGGTTAGCAGGCGAGGTGTGCCGAGGCAGAGTAAGGCTGTCCAGTGTGGTCCCGTCGCCAAGACAGTCCCGGTTTTGGGGTGGGGGGGAGGTGTCACAACCCTCCGGGTGCAGTGAGCAAGTTCACGCTTGCTGAGCTTTGCTCAGGTGGTGGTGTGGTCAGCCTTTGTTCCCTCTGGCTTGCAGAGGTGTTTTGTGGCTCAGGCGCCAGCCTTAATTCTGTCTTTGGGTTTTGTGAGCGCTGACAGCAAGAGCTGCTCTGCCGCGAGCAGTAGCGTATGTACCAAAAAAGGCTGTGCTGGCAAGGTTGTCTGCACCTGAAAAGCCATTTAAAAGCCTTTGATACGTCACTACTATATAAAATCCCTCCACGCTTATGTCTGTGTAGATGTAGGAATATTCTAAAACAATACATGGTATCAGAAGGGATCGGAGATCTTATGTATGCCAAACGTACCCTTGGTTAAGTCACCTGTAAATAAATTCCTGCTCACTTTATTTGAGGAGCCAAAATCAGCCAAGTGTGTTGGGCAATTTAATTGTCCTTATGGGTGTGCTTTGTTGCAGTATCTGATGTAATTGGTAGTAAGTAATAATGCAGCATGCCAGTGAGAATGGGGGAGCTTGGCCCAGTCAGAATTGGGTTAGGCAAGAGACATGTCAGTGGAAATCAAGCATCTCACTGAAGGATGCGGATTCGGTGTTCTAACAGAGTCTCCTGTGATCTCCATGCCTAACACAACTATTTTCTCTAAGAGAAAGTCAGTACTTCTCTAAGATTTAATGTGCCTCAGTCCTATGCAAGACTAGTATGTTATGATTTTATTTAATAAATTACTGACATAAGTTCTAAAGTGGGTTTAGGTCAAATTGTGTATTATACTTTGAAGGCAATTGCCTCTTATTTTTTTCATAGGGTTTAACTGTAGCATCCTTACCTACTCCAGAAATACCAATCTCCTTTCATACAAATGGGGGATATTACATTAAGTGCATTAAGTTAGTGTAATCAAGCTAAATTCAGCAACTGTGTTTATTTTAAAGATTTGTTGCTTCTGGTTTAGACCCAGCAAAGAACTTGTGTTTCAGCAAACTTGCTGGTTTTCGGATGCACGTGAAATTTAATAACACTTTTCCTGTGTAACTCTGGTTTTACTTATATCTGTAGTAGCTCTATAGTTATGAGAGCCTGCTACAGGACATGTCAATATTGGCTCTAGAAAAATGTTTCTGTGCTGTTTTGATATTTCTTCCATTTCTTACTGGTGTTACTGTCTTTCGTCTGTGCCAGAACCTCTGCACACATTTTGTCCCATTTTAAAGGGAATGAAGAACAGAAAATATTCACCCTGTGACTCCTTCAGAAAGAAGAACTTGTTTCCCTACCTGTTATGTTTTTGACAAAAGTTTTTCTGTTATCAGTCTAGTTTTAAGATGTCCTAATCTTTCTGCCAGAAAACCCTGTGAAATATCTTGCTCTGTTCTAGCAGTGGCCTATCCCTTTTCGGGACTGGCTTTGTTTCCTATGTACAAAACATAAGACTCACGATAACACGTGTATGTCCACATGCTAAATTTCCTGAACTTTGCTCAGAGTAGGAGAGATCGAAGTAACTTATCTCTTGGCACTTGTCAAACATGATTACCTATACACATAGATAGCAATGCTAACCAAGAGATATGATCAAACTGGGCATGTAGTGCTAAAGGTTGAAGTGTAAGTGCCAGCATGCTCTCCCTTTAGCTGAGAAGGAAGATACTAATCCTTCATACCGTAGTTAGTCAAAGATTGAAACCTGCATTGACCAAGGGTGCATTTCTTGCGTAACATTCACATACTGGGAATTAAATAGCATTCTTTCAAGGACTTAAATGCCTGCTCAGTGTCAGCATTACTGTGATGAGAGTACAGACTGTGAAGTTAAACACATACCTGAGATGGTATGATTCAAGTCCGTGACATTTGCTTAATGCAGGGAGGTGAAGAGAAGAAACTCAACAGCTTTACAATGTATTCCTAACACTTTGTTCCACTGCAAAATCAGACTCTCCTCAATAATGGTAGTACTGGTAGTTGAAAAGCTAGTTGTGACAGCCAGTATTTTACCTGGTGTGTTTTAGAGATTTCTGAGCATATCGTATTCAGACGCTCCCTATGCTGGAAGTTTTTCAGCAGTGTTGAGACTGTGACTTGGTCTGCATATGATTTCTTGATGACAAGGAGTACCTACAAAGCAAAACAGTCATGGTCCCAAAAGGATAAATTTTCCTGATGTAAAGTGATAACTTGTGAGCACTAAAGTAATTTGATCAGGCCGTAAGTTCTGATTTGTAATTGCCATGCATCTCCGCTTGAGATGCTCAGGGAGCGGTTATCAATTTTTTTATTCTAGTTTTTGAGTCCACGTTCTGTCAGAGCAGAGATGGAAACCTGTGATATGAGGAGTGGGGAATTTCTAAAGCAGAGGAGAGCAGGTGTTTCCTGCCTATGCCAAATGGTAAATCAGTTGTGTGCTGCATTCTGGAGGAGAGTAAAAGCAACCTGGAGCTAATACAGAAACAGGATAAATGGATCAGATGTGCAAGTGTAAGCCTATATATTTTTTTAGAACAGCACTCAGAAGCAGGCTAGAGAAAATATTTAGAATGGATCTGAAAATGCTTTTTTTTCTTCAATTTTGAAATACTGATGTTTGCATTTTTCTCTCTTTGTGCTTTATTCTATCTGGTAAACATTCATCAGGCATCTGAAGAAATAGCCTCAAGATGAACTTCTTCCTAGAAACGTTGAAAGTCATCGGATTTGTTGTTTATTACTTGCTAGAGTCGCTAGTGTTCTGGGTTGTGCCCAGACGGAAGAAGAATGTTAGTGGTGAAATAGTATTAATAACAGGAGCGGGAAGTGGCATTGGAAGACTCTTATCTTTGAAGTTTGCCAGCCTTGGAGCCACACTGGTTCTCTGGGACATTAATCAAGAGGGGCTCAAGGAGACAAGCAGACTGGCCAGAGAAAATGGAGCAGTGAGAGTACACTCTTATATCTGTGACTGTTGCAAAAGGCAGGATGTCTACAGAGTTGCTGATCAGGTAAAGTATCTTATCTGTGTCTTGAACACTATTCTAAGATGAGTGCCTGCATGTGTGTATGATGTATGATAAATTTTAGTGACTTCAAAGCAAGATAATAAAATTAATTAACTGAGAATGTATTGCATAGGATACCTATTTAAAGAATACTGTTTTTTAGAGTTCATTTGTGTACATCTGTTCCTTTAAAAATAGAGAGTTGCTTCTCTTTCAGTAGCTCATTTCAACTGGGTAGCTTCTCATTCATTCAGTTACTGAGCAAGCACTTACTGGTGAAGTGCAGAAAATCAATTTATTGAAGCTAAAGCAGTATTTTAAGTTCTGGCAGCCTTTCACCAAAACTAAACCCTAAATACCGTATATTGTAAAAAGGATTAACTGCTTAGGCAATTTTCAAATAATTCCATAGCTGTGAACAGATTTTTGCAGACTCATCAGAATTAATAAATGTATCTTGAAGTCTTAAATTTTTCTTACTTCCCTTTCTGAAGAACTTTGTAAATATAGCATGTGGTTAGATATTTTGGGCAGACTAGTAGAACTGCCAAAAGCTAAAATTGCTTAACAGTTTCCATTATAGCAACCTGTCCTAATTTGCTTAAAATGTTGCTAAATTTAACTGTTGGACTAGAAAGTTTCCACAGTGAGTGCTTGTCTGAGGATGAACTATTTTTTTTTTTTTAATAAAAAAAAAAAAAAAAAAGCCCAGCTGTCTTCAGAAACATTTGTTGGCTGAAATAATGTTCTTCTTCTGGTGCTGTTTAAGAAGCTCTAGCCTTCTACATTTTTCTATCAGTGCGAAAATGACTACAGCAAACTTCCTGATAAGTGATGCTCATGCATGACTTGCAGCTTGTTAGAGGCTGGTATGTATTCTGGTAATGCTGATTACTCTTGGCCCCCCTTGCAGCTCCATTACTCCAGCTGCGTTGCACATTTGGTGTCCCTCCAGGACAATTACATGTGTCTCGCTGCAGGCCTATAGCAGTGCTTACCGCTGAACTGGGAGGCGTGGAGGAGGTGGGAGTATTGTAGTGTGAAGGACACTAGAATAAAGAAGATGGAAACTAACCTTCAGATTTGAGGACTCAAGGGCTAGCACTTCAGTCCCATGGAGAAAAGCAGGAGCAGAGCCTTTCTGGCCAAAAATAAAAAGAGGGTATAGGTGTGTGTGTGACACAGGTTAGGGTTGATAAAACCAGAGGTAGACAGGAGCAAAGAAGTGATGAGTCTTGGTGCATGATTCCTCACTTATCTTCTGTCAGAAGTTCACTAACAGCTGATCCTTTAATAATCCTTGTGCTGATCCACATAGAAAGAAATACCCTACTACTCTTCAGAAATGTCGTGTCCTGCTGACAACTGATGTAGAACCATGCTGACAACTTTCCTGTCTTATTAGTGACAAAAAAACTTCAGTATTAGTTAGTGCTTGGTGTCACTGTTTACTTAATGCTGTGTAGTAGACTTTGGCTCGGTGTTCAGTGTCTGCCTTTGCAAGATGAAATGGCACAGTTCCAGGTTGTTTGTTGTTTGTTTTTTTTTTTTTTTTTTCCCCCCGGCCTGGTGATTGTGTCACACAGTGACTTGGAGTTTTGCAAGACTGTATCGATCTAAGCTTGTGTAGGCAGGACATGGTATGGGTGAAAGCTTTGCCCAGTAAAACATTCTCAAAGCCAAAATGAAATGTATGTGAGCCTTAAATACCTGCTTCTGGTAATTCATCAGCCACACAGGGAGACCAGGAAAAAGTCCCTTCAGTAGGAAGAAAAGCAAAAAGCCTGGCAGGTGTGGTGTCCCTGTTCCTTTCCTGTACCAATAGGATGAAGGACAGCTTTTGGCTAGCTAAGCTGTAGCTTAAAATTTGTCTAAAGTCCCTGTTCCAGAAATATCCGACCCCCAAAAGAATGTGGCCTTCTCTGACCTGCCCCTCCCTCCCTAAAGTTCAGTGAAACTTGAAGAATCTAGGGCTTTGAAAGAGTGAAGTAACTCTATAGTGTTTGATCTTCCTACTTGTGAGGAAAGTGAAGCATTTTCCTCATTATCATGTTGCAAACCTCCATCTGGGCTCACATTTACTTTCAGGATCTCTCTTGCATGCTACTTTTTTGCTTATCTGCTGTTTTTTCTTGCTTGTTAGTCAAGATGACAGTTTGCAGCCAGTTTTCCACTTTTCTGAGTGAGAATCTTCTTTCTTGTGCAGAGGAGCAACAGTAGAAGCACATTTCCAGGTGGTATTTCATGCTGCCTATAAAACATCCAATGCTGTCTTCCACCTTTTGTAGGTAGTTATGGAGGGGTTTGTGGTTCTTGGAAAGGAGACGCTTTGGGATGCTGTTTGGGAGTCATGGGAATTGCTCACTACTAAACTTTGGTATAAAAGCATAAATATAAATGCAGAAACAAAGAGAAAATAGTATTTATACCTGAAAAATATGTTTAAACAGATCAGCTGTTTGTATAATGCTTGCCTTATCTAGGCCTAAAACAAACACCTGGAACATACTTTCTTGCACTGCACAAATGGAGAAGTTTAGAGCTCTGGAAAGGTGACATTATCCCTGTCCCACTTAGTAACTAGGGAAAAGGCCTGGTAAAGGTTTTCTGTACTTGGCCTTAAAGCAGTGTGTGGAATCCTGGGCTGAGTGGTGTGGCTGTCATGCACAGGAGAGAGCTGAGAGGAGAAGGGAATTAAAACATCCAGTTTGCCGAGGAAAGAGCTGCCCCATCTAGTTACAGGGAAGCAGCATGAACAGAGATGTAAAGCTGGAATTATTTGTCTAGGTTGCAAGAAGGCACTTGAATTTGCTTTGAGTTCTATCCAAAGTGTGACTATATTTTGGAAAACTGAGTAGAGACAGGTCATAAAGGAAGAGGTTGTTCAGGTTCTTGCTGCTAGTAATAAATGGGATGATCAAGGTTCTCTTGTTATTTCCCTTTTCCCATCTAACCTGAATGTGCTAATCACCAAGTTATAAACTATGTGCCACATCCCCCACCTCTGTCTTTTGTTCGCACAAAAGAAACATGACCACTTATTCAAATATTTGGGTTTTGTCCCAAAGGGTAGATTTGGGGTACTGGTCCAGACTTCTAGAGTTCCTAGATCATCTGACATGAGGCAATATTAAGGCATCATTTACTAGTGATTACATTTGTCTCTGAATGCATACTATTTACAACTTGTGATGAGGGGTACATACACAGGTTGGTGACTAGAACAACTTGTCTAATGCTGCCTGTGGAGATCATGTGGTGCTGCTTCAGAAATATTTAAATTGTTACATGACAACTTTTTGAGAGGGGAATAGGCAGGCAAGAATGTGTGAGCAATGACTGAGGTGGAGAGGGGCTCTGGCTGATGAATTTCTTACAAAAGCTGTTCTGTATAATCCTACCAAGGCCACTTTCTGTTTTTTAAACCCTTAATTAGTTAACAAACGTGGACAAGATTAGAACAAGTTTGAGGAAGATGAGGAGTTTAAGATAGAATAAAGGACAGATGATAAACTATCCTTTAATTCTTTACTGCTATACAGGCTAGACTACCGGGTCTACTTGTGCTTTCTTCAGTCACTGTAGGCACCTAGCAAAGGAGATGCCATTAAGAAATGAGGTTCTGTGATCTGCAACTGTATGGCAAGATGGCATAAAAGCAACATGGTTTCCCAAAGCTGCTGATCAGCACGTTTAACACTTGATCCAGAAATCACAAGTTAAACACCATGTAGAGTACTCATTTCCTTTTTCCCAGGTAGCTCAGATTAATGAACTGTATTTAAAATACTGCACTAAATATTTTCATTCTCCTTTTGAGATCTGGCATAATATCTTGATATCAGATGGCCTATAGTTGTTCTCTCTAGTGAGTCAGGTCATGAAAGTTCTCAGTCTGGAGCTAAGATGAGAACCGTGCTTCCTCCTACTGATCTAAATGTGTAGATACTGTTCTTTAGATAACTTATTTTCTGGGAACCATTTTATAAGGATTCTGGTACAGTGTTAGAATTGAAGCAAATGCAGTAGAAACAAGCTTCTGCACCATGAACCCCAGAAACTCATAAGGCTTTTGCCTTCTGTGAATGCACGTGTCCTAAAATCTTAATTTATTCAGAACTCTACAGGTTTTTGTTTCATTTTCATAACAAACTACTATACTTCCTACAGTTTTCTCATTTCTTGCGTTTTCCTCAGAGCTAACGTCAATGGAGACATGGTGTTCTTTCAGGCTGTCTTCATGAGAAATAAACTTGTAAAAAAAACTTTTTTGTTTGGTAAGATAAGGTCTTAAGTTCCTGACCTATAAAGTTGCTTGAAGTAGTCAAGATACTCGAATAAATAAAAAGGTTGTAAGGAGGAGATTAATTTTACAGGTGGTCTTTCTCACTGCCTCTGTATATGAGGAATAATTATTATAAAGTGACCATTTGCCCATTCAGATTTCAACATGCTGTGGTCAGAAGACTCTATTTACTCCCCCAGAAAGCTGTGGGGGGAAGTCTGGTTTAATGTGTGTGCTGTGGAATGCAAGTAAAGTTACCACTAGTGGGAAAACTACTGTGTAATACATGTTTTATACATGTAATGTAAAATACAGTGTTTAACAATCGCAGTCAGGAGAAGTGGAACATGTGGAAATGGCACAGAGGATCTTGAAATACCTGAAATACTAGGATCCTAATAAGTAGCTGCTGCCCTGGGCAGTGGGGGAGATGAACCCCTGGACTGTTGAGATGCAAGCAATTAATGCTACCAGCAGGAAATCCAATTTTCCTTCTGCTCATCAAAAGACTCAAGTACTATGCAATCTGGCTTCAGCCTTCAGGTCGTGTGGCAGCACTGCTTCTGTGCTCAGGTTGCTCTGTAGAAAACACAAGAGGATTAGAGTATAATGCAAGGAACCTCACAAGCGAAAGTTCAGATACTGCAGCCCTTGGGTAGATTTGATGTGCCTAAATCTGGTGACCTTGCCTGAGGATCTATGTACTGTGCCTCACCCTGTGGCATAAAAATGGCCCTACAAACAGAATTGCTTATCGGTTTTAAGATGGATTTGCTGCAGCAAAACCTCTACGTTAGTTAAGCTCTCTGCAATAGAGACTTATCTGGAACAGTCACAGCAAGAACCAGAGGTGCTGAAGGCAGAAGCCGGTGTGGAGCCGCTGAGCTCCACATCTCCAAAGAAAGTCCAGCTGTAAGCTCAGCAATAGAAAGGCATCAGGTGAGAACGTGCAAGAACCTGAGATGTTTCGATCCATAACAAGCATAAGTTCAATTTAGTTGAAGTAGGTAATATTTCTACTTCTTATATTTTCATATATAAAACTTGGAAATCATGTTGTATATTTATTGCATAATATCTTGAGGCTTTTTGGTTTAGGTTAAAAAAGAAGTTGGAGATGTTAACATCCTAATCAACAACGCTGGCATTGTAACTGGGAAGAGATTTACTGATTGTCCAGATTCACTTGTGGAAAAAAACATGGAAGTCAACATAATGGCACACTTCTGGGTAATACATGTACTTTGCATATACATACTAAAACATCCTTTTGACATGTTTTCAATGTTAATTTTGCCTTTTGGAATTGAGGAAAATACACAAGGATATATAGCTCCTTTTAAGTTCAGTTAAAAATTTTACACGAACTTACTTTATATGCCTGGGAGTTTGTAAAACAAAGAAAGGGTGGAAGAGTGGATCCTTTGGGAACTTCTGGGGGAGGTAGGTGGAAGCAACACTGCTTCATATTTAGAAATGCTCTTAAGAACTGAAGCTTGACATCTGCTAAATTATGAAGCTAGTCATATGTTATAATCCCTCAATATTAATTGACATGAAGCAGGCCTAGCCTAAAAGTTGCTGCTCTAGCAACAGAGAATTATTCAATTCTGTTGGTGTTCTAGTTGCTTTGTGGCTGTGATAGTTTCAGTAAGAAATATGTGTTCAGACAATGCTCTTAAGTGGAGCTTTTGTCCAAAATAAGTAATTTAAGATGCTCATCTATATGGTGTTCCTATCATAAAGAATTGCAAAGGAGATATTAAAACATGCTTCAGTTTCTTCATAAATATATCTAATCCCAAAGATTAGATGAATTTAATAGAAGGAAGGCATGAAATTAAAATTTTTGCCATTTTACAAAATTTACAGTGAACACTTCATTCTTAGTTGAAACACTGCAATGCTGAGTTTTAGTCTGAAATAAACTTAAGTAGCTGAAGCTATATCTTTAGCTTTCAGCAAGTTACCATCTGTCTTTATTGAGGAGAAAGTGGTACTGGTAGGGCCTGGGAAGTCCCAGTTTAGTAGTTGAAGGTTAGAGTTCAAATCACAAACTTTTTTTTTTTTTTTCCCCCCTCCCTTCCATAATGGAAGGGTAAAGCTTATTTAAACTGTAGGGAGAATTTATTTAAAAACACCACCTTCAAAATATTATAGCATGTAGCTTACTTAGTAAAATGTTTCATTGCAACTCTGATTCATATTGCAGAGTTACAAAGCCTTCCTCCCAGCAATGGTGGCCTCTAACCATGGACACTTGGTTAGTATTGCAAGTTCAGCAGCACTGACTGGAGTCAGGGGTCTTTCAGGTAGTGTATTAAAGGTAATGTTCATTTAAACAATTAGTTTGATTTAAACTCTGCAATCAGTACTTATTTAAAAAAATCCTAATTTTGAGTTTCTGGGACTTTGCGTATAGGTAAAGTAAACGATCATACTTTCAAAGCAGTTGAGCTTAAATAGACCATTCCTTTCAAAAGAGTTTTCCAGATGCTCAGCAGCGCTGTGAAACAGGCTTTTCTGCCAAGGCAGTTCGAGGATCTAGAAATCATATAGAACTCTGGAAACTGAGAACTTCAATGTTGTTAAAGTTAACCTGCAGGCATTTGGTGGGGAAGAAGCCACTTCTTTCTTTTTCTTTTTTTTTTTTTTTTTTTTTTTATTTCCTTCAAGCGTGTTCTCAAAATAAGCAGAGTCCTGTACTGGTTTCCCTAACTCAAAGAACTACTAAAATCCAGATGTGGTGCAGAGGCAGAGCTGTGATATCTCATTTTGCATTCTCTGTCTCTCAGCCGTTCATTCAAGAGGACCCATACAGTGATGGAAAGGAAGTAGTGTGATATTAAGGCAAACTCAGAAGACATTTCTGGAAAATGTATGCAAAGGGGGAGGAAAATTAAATAAAGTGACAAAGCAGTAAAAGAAATCTGTTTTCAAGGCAGTGATAATGAAGACAAATTGCATTTCAAGTTGAAACCATATTAGAGAGTGTTGAAAGCTTGCTTGAGTTTGCATAAGAAGCTAGTGCATGGATTCAAAGGTAAAGTCTGGTATGAAAAGAATTTCGTTTGCTATTGTTCAGTAGAGAGTGGAAAGGTGCTGACAGGGTTGGGATGAGAAACCCTCAGTCTAGAGCAACAGTTAAAGGGAAAGTAAAGGAGTGAATCACATAAAAGGCAAATTTGATTAGTAACCTAATCCTGAAAACAGTTCCTACCCTGTTGTAAAGTATTTTATTATTGGACAGCAATTTCCTGCAGGTACTGTGTATATATAATTTTTATACTATAGTGCTGCTGTTGCACACGGTAAAAAAAAAAAAAACAAAAAAAAACAAAACAAAAAAAAAACCCAAAACAAACAAGAAAACGACAAAAACCCAAACAAAAAAGACCATACCTATGGCTAGTTTACTTATTAGACCATAGTTTTGTCCCTGTTCTCTGTCAAAAACTGTTACCACTGCTGTGTACCTACCAGTGGTAGGACTCACCGAACCTGTTTAGTAAAGTTTAATTAGTAAATTCAAATGTTTAACTGGAATTAATGTTTTATTTATTTTACAGATTACTGTGCAAGTAAATTTGCAGCAGTTGGTTTTGCAGAGTCAGTTGATTTAGAGATGAGATACCTGGGAAAGACTGGTGTTAAAACCACAATTGTGTGCCCTTTCCTCATAAACACAGGAATGTTTGAGGGCTGTAGAACCAGGTGAGTAAACTCCTGTGAGGTATTTACACAACTTTCACATTTAGCATGTTGGGTACTCCTATTTCCTGTAGGAAAATGAGATAGGCTCTTCTGTGCTTGTGTTATTTTCAGGGCCTCAGATGAATGTTAACAGTGCTATCCAGTGACTGGGCTACCCAAATGGCAGAGCTCTCAGTACTTTACTATGCATTTAAGCTGAAATGGGAAACATAATTGGTGTCCTTTCCTCTGCAGAAGCCAAACACTCCAGCTGCCCTCCCTGTTTTCTAAACCTCCATTCACCTCCTGAAATCAGTGGCACAGCTTTGCTCTGTACGCTTGTACAATGACAAAATTTAGGAGCCAGAGAAAAGTCAAGTGTGTCTTTATGAGGACTGTGGATTTGTCTGGTGAGAGGTCATGCAAAGGGAAAATAACAGTGGCCACTTACTCTTTAACATAATGAAGGTTCTGTTGTTCACAGGATTTGCGGTATTCATTTCTTTTAGTTGAATAACTGCAAAATGGAGACTTACTTTGGGGAAAATGTGAATCCAAAGCAATTTGTATTATAGTAAGGATTCTTCTCTTCCAGGTGGCCAACTCTGCTTCCCATAATGGACCCAGAGTATGTGGCTGAGAAGATAATGACTGCTATTCGGCAGGACCAAGAAATACTGGTGCTACCACGCAGCATTTATTTTTTATTAGCTTTGAAAAGGTAAGTTATGCCTTTCCTTCTTTTCCTCTCTCTCTTTTCTGTCCAGGGATGGTTCAGTCTACCCTTGGACCACAGAGCAATGACAGAAATGTGTAACAGTGACTGGCTGACTCCACTGGGGTGCAGTTTTACCATGGGCTGTAGAGACTGGGCCTGCTCCTCAGTAACTGTCTCTGGTGTCTTGCCCCAGCATTAGAGCACTTCTGACTGCTGCAAAGCCAGGTTGGGAAACTGATCTGTCTGATAACTCGGGCTGCCAAATGAGTGGAATGGATATTTTGAGAGGACCAGTGGTAGTATATTCTGGAGAGTATACTGCCTTTGCCAGTATTAGCTGGGTAAAACTAATTGTGTGATAAAACTGCACAACTCTTCTGACGTCTGTTTTGGTTTTTTTCTCTTCTTCAACTCCCTTACCTTGCAGTATGATTCCAGTGAAAGTGAGTGTTCTCCTTAAGGAATATCTTGGAATTTCCTGTTTAATGGATAGCTTCAAAGGTCGAGCGAAGGAGGACTGAAAAGGCGCAAAATTCAGACCAGCAACTCTAAAGTGGATCTTGTTAAAGATGGTGGTGGAAGAGGTCTGCTTTTCTAGCAGCTGCGAGCTTAAGGTGCCTCACTTCTCATTAGTAACAATTTTTAAGGAAATTGCTTTTTAATTGGCTCTTAGCAGCTTTCACAAGAACTATATTTTTAATCCAGTGAAATTTCTTTTCACTTCATTATGGAAATACATTAATTGAAATTAGTTCCTTTGGTTATGTCTGCTATAATGCCTTAAATATGATCATGCATCACAAACTAATAATTCGCAACTTTGGGGGGAGAAGGGACCTAGAAACCACACATTTGGCTGGGGGCCAGGAAAGTGAACTTGACTTCTTGCTGCCATTCACTGAACCATGAGGAGGGGCTGTACTGTTGATGCCATTACCATTCCCCAGCAAGCTGAGGAAATCAAGAGTTTCCTGAAAAACAGATTCAAATTTATACAAATGGTAGTTTTGTGAAATGGAAATATGCACTGTGTTGGTGCAAAACCAATGAAATATTTTAATGTTTGGAGGTGGTGATCTCAGGACTTAGAGATGACCATGGATGTTGGAGTGGGGAGGAGGAAGGGTGTAAATTATGTATTTGTGCTGCTAATCTACTTTTTGTCTAATTTATTTTAAAAGCTAATCCTATGACTGCAGCTTTGCAGTAGAAGTCATTGTATCTTCTAAGTGCAATATTTTAAGAACAATTCTAAATTTTCATCTCCTAAACTGAAGAAGCTTGTAGTCATACAGCATAAGACTGCCAGTCTAGGTGGGCTATCAAACATCTTGCCAAGTAAGGCAATGAGCTACTAAAAGTAAACTGTATAATCAGGGCTTCTCTTGGGATTATTTCAGAAAGCAGTGATGCTGATAGAACTGGAGTGAATGGGGTCCCGACAGTCATAGCTTGAGTAACAGCATTATGTTTTGCTTCTCTGAATTGAGTGGTAGGTTGCCTCGTGTCTATAGAGACTTGCTTTACTTTCCCTCTTAGGGCTATCCATTTATTTTGGACATATGCTGAGGCAGCCTTGCCCTTTTTGATAACGACTGCTTAGAAAACTGAAAGCCCCCTTGACTTCTGGTAAATCCAAAACAGGAAAAAGGAAGATTATACCTTAAATGGATGTAATTTATGCACATGCTAGCCAAGCCCACCTCGTGTCACTGTACTCTACTGGCAATTGGTAACACCTGCAAACAAAGACTAAAATGCATTAGCATGCAATTAATTGAAGGACTGTATGGAGAAAAGGGTGATTTATTTTTTTTCTTTTTAAATGTTGTTTTTCCCATGATGGCCTAGAAACTACCTTCATTTCCCTTGTCTAAACAATTAGTGAGGTTTACCAGTGGAGAAAGGTTTACACAGAACTCTTTTACTACTTATGAGTAAGAAACACTGAGTAAAACAAGCATGTTAAAAATAGCCTTACCTTTATGATGGATTGATGAGAGTTAGAATTCAGACTGATTAAGAGAAGATTCGTCTTACAATCCTTTCAGATCTGCAGCTTTTCTACTTCAGAAATTCCACTCATTTTACAGTACGCTCCAGGAAATGAAAGTTACTAATTAAAAAACAAATATTACCTAAGTGTGCTGTCCATATGTACATTGCACAGTTCCCAAAGTCAGCCACTGATAGCTGTGGTCTATCTGTGTCTTGCAGACTTCACCTTTTTACACCAACACAGCACACTTTTCACATTTTTCCTACTAACTGTGAAATACTAGGTGTGCAAGATTCTGGAGCAAAGGAGGAGAGAAGTGGATGATGCATATGAACAGTATGTACCAAACTCCAGCTCTTGAGAGCAAGTAGCTTTTCACTCTTAATGTCTATGTGAACACGTTCTGCTGAGGGGAAATGAAAGCAGTGAGTCTGGCCATGGGATTTGTGGATTATGAAGTTTGTCACACCACTGGGAGGATTTTACTTAATAATTTGTACCAGAGAAATACATCTCCATAGGGATTTAACTACTTCACAGAATTATTGAGCTTGGAGAGGATCTCTACTTAGAGCAGGGTCAATTAGAGCAGGTTTCTCAGTACTCTGTCCAGTCCAGTTTTGAATATCTTTACATCTGGAGACTCTACAACCTCTACAACATGTTCCAGTGTTTGTCCATACTCAGTTTAAAAACAAATAAATGTAAACTATGTTTAAATTGAATGTCCTTTTTTTCCGACTTGTGTCCATTGCCTTTTGTTCCTAAGAATCTGGCTCTGTGTTTTACACCTTCCCTTCAGGTATTTATGCACACTGAGCCAGAGCCTTTTATTCTCTAGACTGGTCAGTCCCAGCTCTCTCAGCCTCTCCTGGTATGATAGGTGCTCCAGTACCTTAATTGTCTTTGCAGCCCTTCACTGGACTCACTCCAGTACTTTCATATCTTTGAGACCAAGTGCTGTAGTAGGTTGAGTGTGCATAATCTGTCATCCAGAGCTTCACTAAAGAAATCTCCGCTAGCTAGCTGTCCTGATAGCAGTACACAAACATTGCTTTTATGCAGGTGTGCTGCTACTGCTTTCAATCTTATAGTCACTGTAAAATTACTTTGTGTGACTGGGGTGATCTTGTTGGTGGTTTTGATCTCCCACATCCCCTGAGATGGTATGACACATATAGAGTTGTATCCTGGAGGTCAAGCAGCACAAATCCTTCCCCTGTGTTTAGGAGGTGGTATGGAGCGAGTGTTTGGATCTTCAAGTGACAGGAACTTCTTGAGATAAAAGATGGCTTACTTCCAGCATAACAATGTTCTTCACTGATTACTTTCCTGATGCCAAGGGTTCTTTCTTCCTGCTCTCAGCAAGAGAACTCCTCACGGAAGGATTGCTGTGAGACCCGCATGAGAAGATAGAACATGAAATGGAAGAGCATCTCAGCTGTGACAGCATCATGTCTGACAACAGCAGGGGACTATGTCCTCAAGCACATCAGGCAGCTCCCACAAAGGAATTCTTGGTTTCATGACCATTGCTTGAAACTTCAAATTATCTTTAACAGAATTCCTGGGTCCCAGATTTGACTGGGTAGCTGCATTGGCTTGACAGTCATCAATACAGTGATTCAGAAACAGACCAGAACATGGTATTTTGTTGCCTGTTGTGTTTCTCTTCCGTGTGAGTTCATATTCCTGTGGTAGCAGAAATCTTAATATCCTTTAATGCTTCAAAGCACAGAGAACATAATTTTTCTTGGCACTGACTTTATCCTCTGAACAAGACTGAGGAAGAAAACAACAACAAAAAAAGAGCAGCTGAGATACAGGCTCTATTATTATTAGTTATTTTATGAATTTGGAAATCATACCCGAGTGCACTATGCAGCTGCTTGAAATCTGGTCTCATTTCAGGAAGGAACCAAGCAGATACCTCTCTTCTGGTAACTTTTCTAGTGGCACTTAGTCGTCTGAAGACACCTGTGTGGGCTGCATGCTTTGCTGAGCAGCTGTCTAAAACCACAGACTTTGTAAAATAAATCTTTTAACAAAATAACTTAGCTTCTCTGACTGAGGTTTTCTTTGCTGTGACAGGCAAGAGACACAGGTTTGGATCCACAGGTATCAGGTATTCTCAGGGAATGCAGAACTACTGTCTCTCTGGTGAGACTTACCAGGGTCATGGGTGCTTCAGTAGGCAGGAGAGCATTACAGGCACTGGCTTTTGTCCACTCGGAGTATAACAGACTTTCTCTGTAGTCCTAAGTGTCTCCAGCTTGGCAGATCTTTCCTCTGCTTGCCAAAGCCACCAAGCTCACAGCCTGAAGTTGTGCAGATAGCCTCTACCTGAGGAAAACATAAGGGTGACATAAACCTTCACACCTCCTTCCCTTGCCCTCAGCAATATTCACACTAGGAATAAGAGTGCCGTCGTGACTGGGGGACAGATGTACATGAGAAGGGTATGACAAAGGCACAGCCAAGGTGCTTCGCAGTATTGGGTCTGCTGGGTAGCTACTGCTTGATCAAAACAAACCTTGATTATTGGTGTAGCTGTGTTGAGAGATGCCACCCTTATCCAAGGTGGTGAATAACTACGTATGTCTAAGGAAAGATGGTTCTGCAGGACTTGTATTGGGATAGTCTTCCAGCCTGCCCAGGAGGGAAGAACTACAGAAAGGACTCGGGAGAGGCAGAGCTCTAAGACATGGTCTGGTGTGTTCGGACACTGAAGCATGATCGTGCAATGCACTGTGCACAGGTAATTCCAAAACTGATATAGAGAGTCATGCTACAGTTATTGCAAAATAGTGTACCTGTGTTTTGGGAAGCTTCTAACAATTTAAACAAGAGCTGTCAGTTCCAAGTAATCACGTTTGTAAAGGGTATATATCCAGAAGGAACAAATCTCACCAGAATAGCCAGGTGAAGCACTTGTTTGAAGTGTTTCCTTCGGGAAGTATGTAATTTCCACACTCTGGTATTGAGTCAATCTGTAACAGAAGATGGGAGTTAAATTACAGGGTATCTAGTTGAAATCTTCTGTGTTAAAACTCCCTAAAAAAAATGAATACCAACTTAATTTCACAAAAAAAAAAAAAAAAATGAAATACTTGAGGCAGGTAAAGCTTGCTTGTAGAAATTATCTCCACGTGCAGTAACAGGCAGAAATCTCTTTCTGAGGACTTGGAAGACAGCTATGAAGCTAGTTTCTTCAGCTTTTTTGTTTACCTTGCCAATGAAATGACTGACTGCCTTCACTCATGCTTTTAGATACAGATAGTTTTATCTGCAATAATATTTATATGAACACTTTAAAGATAATGGATTGATCCTTAGCATTCAGATAATTAAAAATAAGGTATCTTTGCTTTTATTTTGTGTGTGATTATAATGCTGCCAATCTAAAACGGGTCAGGTTTTCAGATTCCCTTCAAAGGGAGAGAACACTTAACCAATCACTTCACATTCAAGCAACAACGTCCTGTCATCTGCTTCTTAGATTTGGAGAGAGACAGCTAGATTTGATGGGAGACAGATACAGTTTCCAACGAGGAAAACTGCCTTAGAGAATAAGGCTGCAGGATGGATGAAAAAGGAGTGAGGGTGTTTAATTCGCCAGTTCAAGTGGAGGTATGCAAGAAAAGAGAGGAGGGTGGTATTGGTGATGAGTAATCGGTTGATACATGGTGGTGTTATGAGAAGTACCAGAAGACATCCTGTTGGTCCACAGCATTCTTGAAGACTAGACCTGTTTCTGCTGTTTTGGAGAATTTCCTGAGCTAAAAAAGGAGTAGGTTAGCGTTGTGTCTTAAAACAAGGTGTTTTGTAAAGAGGATAAGCAGATGGTTAGGCACTCTGGAAAAGCAGAATATGGGATGTGAGCATGGGGGGAGTGTCTGTGTGTATATATATACATTTATACATATATGAAGTATAATATTTAAGTTTTGTTTGGACTCTGCCTCTACAGAGGTAAAAGAGGTAGATCAGAGCTGTTGTGAGTGAAGGAGCAACGTGACCTCTTCTTGAGGCAGACAGGAAGGCTTCTAAATACACCTCTTTTTCAAAGTCTTTTAAACTAGTTTTTGCATATAGTATGCCATAGCAGGCTCAAGTTTTATATCTGAGTCCGTGTAGTAACTTGCCTGTGCAATGCTTTCCCTCTTTAATTAAATAATCTCTTTTAAAATAGCAGGTATTTTATGGTGCAGCACCCTGACTGCTAAAAACCCAGACTGAGGAGACACTGACATGTTCACATCTGTTTTTTATATTCACCCAGCCACAAGGCTAGCCTTTTTGCCATTATTTTTTTAGAACATGACACAGAAATAATGCTTTTTTTTTCACATCCGAAGAAAGAGCTATTGCATTATTTCCACTGTGGAAGCCTGTGCTGTGTTCTGTTGCATACATATGTGTTGTGGTTTTTGCTCAGAGGGCAACTGAGCATCACACAGCCACTCACTCCTCCCTTCCCTCCCAGCGATGAGAAGGGACAAATGAGCCAGGCTTGGGATTGGAGATAGGACCGGGAGGGGCAGATCACCCATTATAGTCACAGGCGAAAGGCAGACTCATTAGGGGAAGAAAAAAAGAACATATGTTTATTAAAGACGCTAACAACACCACATAACAGAGTAGGACAGTGAGAAGCACTATCACACCTTGAGAACACCTTCCCCCCACCCCTCCCTTCTTCCCGGGCTCAGCTCTGCTCCCGATATCTCTACCTCCTCCCCCAGTGACGCAGGGGCAGGGAATGGGGGGTGCAGTCAGTGCTGCCACTTCCTTTATCTTCGGTGGGGGGAGCTGCTGGAACTTCTTCCCCCTGCTCCATCGTGGTCCCCCTCTCACAGGAGACAGTCCTCCACAAACTTTCTCCGACATGAGTCCCTCCCATGGGCCGCAGCGTTCCCCACACTGCTCCATCATGGGTCACCAACTTCCTCTGACTGGATTCCCTCCCACGGCTGCAGCCCTTCCGGAGCTGCTCCGGCGTGGGACACCCCCGCATGCTGCAATCCTCCCAGCACTGAATTACAGCAGCGGGGCTGCCTTTTCCCATGAGACCCCGGCCTTCTTCAGGCACTGAACCTTGATCAATCAGGCAGAAGCCACAGGCCATAAATCAATGTCTGCTCCACCGTAGATCTCCATGGGTGGCAGGGGGGGCCGCCCTGCCGTCTCCCCACAGGATACAGGGGGGTCTCTGCTCCGGCACACCTCCCCCCTCCTTTCTTCCTCCGTTCCTCCACTGACCTTGGTGTTCATGCAGCTGCAGCAACTCCTCCTCACAAGTCCCACTGCTCCTCACCACGTCCCTTCTTAAATACGTTATCGCAGAGGCGCAGCCGATTGGCTCAATTTCCCAAACAGAAGTGGAGCTGACTTGGAGCTGGGGGAGCTTTGAGAAGCTTCTCACAGGGGGCCGCCCCGATAGCCCCCTCCCCTGCTACCAAAAAACTCCACCACTCACTCAAACCCAGGACAATGCGCTTTTTGTCTCATTGTATTACAGCAGGCAAAGCCACAAAGACATACCATGAATAGCCATCCATGTTCTCCACCTTAGTTGTAGGTTGGTTTTGTTAGCTTTTTTTTTTCTTCTACTTCTTCTTGAATATTGTTCTCTTAATATCCAGAAAGGAGCACTAAAAATACACAGAGATCAATGGAACAAGCTAGGAGAGATGTTCAGGGATCACATCCGTCCTTGG